AGAGGAGAGGAGAGGAGAGGAGAGGAGAGGAGAGGAGAGGAGAGGAGAGGAGAGGAAAGGAGAGAAGAGAAGGAAGAGGCCAGCCAGGAACATGTGGAGGTAAAGGGGGAAGCAGAAGGAGAGAGAGGGAGAAAGAGGTCAGAGAAAGAGAGAAAAGGATGAGAGAGAGAAAGGGGACAGAGAAAGAGTGAGGAAGGGCCAAAGAGTCCTTTTTATAGCAAGTCAGGCTTACCTGGATGTTGCTGGGTAACTGTTGGGCAGAGCCTAGAAGAAATGTCAGCATGCTAACACCTTCCCCTATTGCTTACCAATTAAGAAAACGCCTTACAAATAGATCTTATGGAGGTATTTCCTCAACTGAGGTGCCTTCCTCTCTGATGACTCTATCTTGTGTCAAGTTGACACACAAAACCAGTCAGTACAACTAAGACTTCAAAAGTTCAGTGTTAGAGGATGGTTTTGTGTTGTGTATTCAGATGCTGATTTCTATGCCCAGATATCTGGTTCTGGTCCAGATGTTGGCAGGTTCAACCATCTCTGGTCTGTATCTTATGGAAAAATTGTTTTCCATCACCCCTGATTGGTTAATAAAAAGTTGATCAGAGAAGGCAGGACTTCTGATCACAGGGGCTGGCCCTGAGCCAGGAGGAACTGTAGTGTGCAGATCACTGAGGGATTCACCCTGAAGATCCACATGGAGTAGAGCAAACCTGGGTGAGTCTCAAACTGTAAACAGTGCAGGGCCTGTGCCTGGGATGTAGATAGTTTATAAAGTTAGAGTTGATGAATATGTGCCCAGTCGTAGTGTGTAAAACTTACTAATAAACTGAATAGGTCTTTGTGTCAAATATTTGGGAGCTAAAACTGGAACAGATAAGGCTATTAACTTTAAATTACTGCCTACAGTTCAGAATTTTAACAATCAGTGGGGTTCTGATAAGCTATTAATCTAGCTCTGGCAAAGCACTGCTAATGTTATTATTGTCACAAACTCAAAATTTTAAATTTCCTCTGGTTGTCTTCTATATAGACTTTAAAAAATTGCTCTCATTGTGCTAAAAAAAAAAAAATGTCCGATCTACATACACCTAGCCTCTGGATAGAGGAAAGAGTGTTCATGCTTTTAACCCAAAACATTTTTGAGTCCCCAGTCTTTCACTATGACTCAAAGTCTACTGCCTTTTCTACAATGTGGATTTCAGTACAGATTACAAACAGTGGTAACTTTTTTTATCTTTTTAGAAACTTAAAAAATTTCTTGTAAGCTTCAGAGAATCAACTTGAATCCAGCTCTTGCAGGTCAAATGGACTCCAGCTAAAGTACTCAGGTCAACAAGCAGCCAAAGTTTCCTGCCTACTGCCTATTCATAAGGGTGGTGTCTCTTCCCCTTCCCCTGGTCTTGGGACTCTCTCCCCAATTACCAGAACTGTGGGTCTAAAAGTTTCAAATGTACACCTGTATAAAACATTTCCTCCAAACTCTTAACTTTGCCTTCCCTTCCTAGTCTATCTGTCCTAGAAGATTTAAAATCAATTACAGACTGCTTCAGTGCCAGCTCCAGGTACCCCCTTAAAATCTGCATCCCAGACAGCTTTAAAGCAGCTAGCCCAAGGTGGTCTAGTCTCACAGACTGCCTGCACTTTCTTTGCTCCAGATGGTCCTTCAGGGCCTGTTCAAAAAGTGAAACAATCCAATCTTCCTGGCCTTGGTCAGCATTCCAGTTCCTTTGGCCTACCCCCATCCCCAATCCACCAATGAGCACCTATGTCAGCAGGAAGTAGAAATAGAAAATACTGCCTTACCAGCCCCTAAATATCACACAAAAGGCTGGGATGTTAGGTTTCAGCCCTCTGACTGAGATGCCTATTTAACATTTCCAAGTGGTTCTGGCCACCATGTTTTCCCTGAATCCCTCATTTCCTAACTGTTACCTGGCTGGCATACCACCCACTACCATCACCCTACCCACCACCCCCTCTGCCCCATGCCCCACCCCATAGTCTCAAGCTTAGGGGGCTGGGCCACTCTTCCCTAAATAATTCAACCCTTTTGGTTACCTTCTCTCTTTGTACCTTTGGGCCTCCTGGCTGTTGCACCTGGACCCTTCTTTCCTCTTCCTTGCTGTCCCTCTCTCCTACACTCAGCTCAGTATGGTCTTGACCACTCTGAACTCTCCAAGATTCCTATGCCTCTGACTACACTCTCTCTTTTATCTACAATAAAATTTCTCCTACAACTTACCTAGGACCTGACAGTCATGTTGCTTTTGTTTTTATTTCTGTTTTTCATTGTTCTGGAGCAGAAACCTTGGACCAGTCATTTCCTTCCCATCTTAGTTCTTCTTTTCATTCAGTTGGTTCTTGCCAATCTTTTCTGTCCTGCTCTGATCCTTATTACTCCACTTCCTCTCGGACTTTGCTTTTCTGTCTTCTGAGTGTGTGGTGGGGGTTGGGAGGAAGGATTGGGTAAGTTATTGATTTGAGGCCAATTGAAGTATCATGGCTCTTTACCAAGTCCACCTTTTCTTTTATTTTTAATACAGGCATTTAAAGCTATACATTCCATCAGGCCTACCTTAGCTGCAGCCTATGCCTTTGGATATTATGTGATTTATCGTCATTTGGTTTGCAGCTTCCTTTTTGACCCTTCTTTGACCCTGTAGAAATAGACAATGAAAATCCAAAGTGAAAGGAAACATGGAATATTTACTCAGAGGTTGCTGTAGCAAAGAAGTCAGTCAGCCCGTGTTTAGCAGAGACTCAAAGGTAAGTAGGGGAGTGGGGTGATGGAAAGCAGGGAGGTTCTGAGTGTTGGTCAGAATAGATGAAATAGATTTCATGAGCTTCATTTCAGGGACACAGATGACATTCCTTCTGGAGGCAGAGGCATAAAGACAAGAAGGTAAGTTAATCAACGAGTTAACATACAAAGTAAGAGTTTAGACATGGCACCTCCATACACATTGATAAGTTATTCTCTGCTGGTAAAATGAGCCAATTCAGGCCAGATCATAGTATAACAAAGGCAGGTTTATTGGGCAGCTGCCCTTGAATGGGTTCACTGATTCCATGGAATGAGGTCCTGGGAAGTCCCCATGTGGAAGGAAACAGAGGGGAGGGGGAGCAGAAAGAAAGTCCACATGCAGAAAGAAAGAAAATGCAGAGACATAGGGAGAGACTAAAATGTCTGTGTTATATAGGGAAGAGCTTCTTGGGGAGGGGAAGCCCAGCCCCTCAGCTGGTAAGTTCAGGGCAGAGGACAGGTGTGCAAGCCATGTCCTGTAACAAGTAGGGACTAAGGGATGCTGGAAGAACCTGGAGGCCAGGTCCACTTTGGTAAGTTAAATATGCACTTCAGCCCCTTGACCTGGGTCTGAATCCCAACACATATGTCATTAAACTTTGTTCTCAATCATTTCCCTCCCCCATTCCCATCCCCCGTGACCCCTTCCCCACAGCCAGTTTCCCCCCTTTCCTCAGTTAGTTCCAATTTTTGCTTTTGTATTGTGTGTATTCCACTGCCATCTCTATTTTCCAGTAGCCATAAGATCTCTTCCCCTTTCATGATCTCCTTTCTGGTTTCGTGACCTACAAATACATCCTGACATTTAAGTGAGTATACACACACAGGCATGCACAAACATACACACAAACATACACTATTTTAAATCTAGGCTTCACATATGAGAGAATCACAAAGTCTAATACCAATGTTCTCTCATATGCACATCACATTTGAAGCCAGCCTTCCCAAAATGCCTCAGGAGAGGGCTTGAGCTGACTCCTCAGTACCTCTCCCTTGCTTGTGAGCCAGATGAGACACATGGACCACATGTCACTTTACACCAGCAAGCCTTCCTCTGGTGTTTATGGATCGTGTCCAGGCTCAGCTAGGTAACCTAATTCTTGTCTTTACTTTGTCAGATTGCAACAGGCACATGTTCAATGCCACCTAATTCATTTTTTTAAAATTTTTGTATTTATCATTGACATCATTATTACTTGTAGTTTTGTTGGGGGGGGACAGATAGTTCTGCCATAGCACATGTATGAATGTGACTCCGGTTTCCTCTCTACCTCTCTTCATCCAGTGACTTCCCCTACTTTCCTTAGTCTGCATCAGATTTCTGCCATTCCTGCAACTGCCCGTACCTGTTTTCACATTAGTGTGCTGTATTCCTAACTATGGATTCCCTTTTGACCTCTTCTGCATCATGCTCTTTCCTCGATCTTCTACTTCACTACTTCATCTTGTCACCACCTCTTGGGTGTGTTGCACTTTCCCATGGCAAATGTTTACTATGCCTTTAACTGTGTTCTCATGTTTATAGATCATTCTTTAGTTCAGTGAGAAGGGTGTTGAAATGCTAAATGTGAAAAAGAATTGGGAAATTGTGATGTCTAAGTCTCATCTTGTTATAATAAACCTTTTTTTTTTATTGGTATAAATGGATCAGAAACAGGTTATCTCTTTACACAGAGAGGCAGATGGTATGTTATTGCTGGCTGTAATCAAGAATAGTTAACCAATGAACATATAAAACAGGACATGGACAAAAAACAATTCATGCATGGTAGTGATCTCTAAAGAAAAGCAATGGACTTCTTGCATGGGTTACACATCTGTGGGTCTTAGGGAAGAGCTGGCCTGGGAATTTAGTGGAAGGACAACCAACTCCATTGACAATTTGGACACACAAGCCCTGAAATCCAATTACTATTTGGCTAGGCAACATTTACTGTTTCCATCTTTCTCAAGAGATGTTTAGCATCGTCAACCACTACATTAAGGAACTGAATGTGCCCATAGTAGACTTTCAAAGCCTGGATTACAGAAGACCCAGGGCCTCCTTTTATGGCACAAAAAGCTTCAGCAGCGCTCCTAGCTTGTGCTATTATGCTGTCATCCTTTACAAGGGACCAGAAATCTGAGCACTTGAGTTGGCCCTTGATGTCTTCCAAGGGTATGTTCAGCTTTTTAGCAATCTCTTCAATCGATTTATCATCCAAGCCAAAATGGCTTCGGTACTCCTTCAAGCACTGTTCTTGTTGACACAAATCAAAGCCACTAAGGAAGGTCATAAAGGGAATGAAGCTCACAGCTGCTGACTTCAAGGCCTCCAGGAAGATCTTCTCCTGAAGAAAATGTTTCTTTATCTCAATGGAAGCATCAGAGATATTGGGCAAGAGCAGGGCAAACATATGGCGCTTGTGACCAGGGAGCTCCTTCAGCAGAGTCTCCTCCAGCTTTGAGAAATCAAAAGCACCCAGATCAAAGTTGGAGATCAGGAAGATTCGTGGTTCAGTCACTCCAATATCATTGAGATTAGCCAGACAGTAGTCTCGAATACTCTGAAGGACTTTCTCCTTCTTGAAGGTTGTGGGTTTGGTTTTCTCTTCACTATATAAGTCACTGTCCACCTTGGTCCTAACAAAGTAGAACTTCTTCCCAGCATCCTTGATTTTCTGGGCTAGGAGAGCATCATTGCGGCTGAAGCGGGAAGAAGAAATGATGATGAAGAAGTCATAGTTAGCAAATCCCACTTTGTCTAGATAAGTGTCTGTGTGGAAATTGGGAGTCCCAGTCCCAGGCAGGTCCCAAAAGATCACTTTGGGATATTTTGGGTGCTGATAGGGGGTTTTATACATAGTGGTCTCCACAGTTCCAACATCAGCAGAGTCCTCTGCCTCATGACTCAGCCCTCGCAGGGCATTGATAAAACTGGACTTGCCAGTCCCAGACTCCCCTATCACAGCCACCTCCAGGACAGCATTCTCTGCAGCACCAATCGCTTCCTGAATCTGACTCATGACATCGGAGAGTTTTCCCTCCTGAAGGGCTTTGTGAATAGCAGAGAGAGTCTCTGGAGAGAGCATGCCTCCTGCCTTACTGATTAGTGCAGAGTACTGAGGAAGAAACTCCTTAGCTAATTGGTGGAAATTCTTTTCTGAAGCACCCTTCAGGAAGGCTGAGATGAACTGTTCCATAGCAGTTACCAGGGAAGATCTGTGAGAAGGGAGAAAGATCAAAGAGTTAAGAAGAAAGGATTAGTTAAAGAGAAACCCACCCCTCCAGACACAGCAGCCACTGTGAGCCCCTCCTATCCTCACAAGCTGGTTCATGGCACTGCATCTCATTTATAGTCCGGGAGAAGACACACTTATTCTCTTTCTTATTGGTTTCTGTGTCTTAGATTCAGGTGACAGTAACCACTTTTACACTGTCAGAATAATGATCCCAAAGATGTCCATATAACCCCCAACAGAATCTGTGAATATATCATTTACACAGAAGAAGTGAGTTGGTTGCTGAGGTTAACAGTTTTATGGTAGGGCCAGTACTTTGCATTATTCAGATAAACTCAAGTGTAAATTTAATTTTGAACTAATTTTAGATTTCTGACTTCCAGAACTAAAAGAGAATAAATTTCCGTTGTTTCAATTGCCCCATAATAACTGCCCGTATTCATGGAGTTATAACAGGTGATTTGTCCACACCAGTGTACAATGGCCAGTGGTAAAACTGGCATACTCAATACCTCACATACACTAATACACTAGCCTTCCTAAGAGAAGACAAAGGGTTAATCTAATGGAGAACAACAATTTCCTTCCTTATGCAGATCCTTCAGAAACAATGTTCAGGATAAGAAAAAACTACTTTTAGCACTCAAACAAAACAAAATAAAACAAACATACTAATTTTATTATATCCTATAACTCTGACTAGTCAGAAGGCAGAGGCAGGAAGGCAGCAAGTTCAATGCCTCCAGAAGGAGTTCATGAGTAACTTGAACAAATTGGGAAGACTACTGCAAAACTTAAAACATACAAATCGAACCATCCTTAGGCTGCTGACAGGGACCCAACTGGTGCAGAAAGTCACCCCTGTGATTGCCCAGGACAAAGGATTCCAGGTCAGGCCTCTCCTGCCTCTCTGTGTCTGTGCCAGGGCCACTACCTTCAGTGCAGAACTAAATAAGATAAGAACACTGGCTTTCATACATGAACTCTGCCTATGACTTTATGAACAAGGAGTAGACCCAGAAGCTGCCGAAGCAGGAGATGCTGGTCTTCTAAAGAAGTCCCACTGAGATGTTCCAAGTTCTGCAAGAAAAGCTGAAGGGTTCATTGCTGCCTAGAGTGTGCAGTGCGATTACTGCATGCCACAGTATGGAAGATGTTTCTTCTCTGAGAAATATAAAGCTGTGGCGGTGTAAGTTAATGTCACGTGTGTGGTAGAGAGAACTGAGCGATGTATCTCCTGTGGGTCCTACCACTGTTTTCTTAATGACTTCATGCTTTATTACTGTGTGTTTTGTGTTCCTCCTTCATAGTGATAGCCTGTCTGCCAGATGTACACCTCTGCTGTACCTGAAATGACTAGAACCTTCTAGTGATATTAACATTTCCATCATAAAACTGAGAATTAAATGTTCTCTACAGCTGTGGACTCTGACAGGATGTCAGGATCCACTTGTGAATTTTGTCCTTTTCCCTTTGATCTCTATAGTCTTCCTTTTCAAGTTAAGAGCACAGAAAACATTTCTTCCACTCTGCTCTTTAGCAGAAAAATACTTACAAAGATCAAAACAAAACAAAACACCTTAAGTAGCTTACTGGTGTAAATCAGAACGTCCTTAAATTAAGAATTAAAACTTCTAGAAACTTCTATTTTAAAAGCAATTTCAGTGTTGAGCTTAATGTTACTTATAGTTTGAACCACCTAAATCTGATGAGAATCTTGAGAAAGTTCTTCTTTCTAAGCTTTATATCCATAAAAGCCCTACAGAATAATGTATAAAGTGAGATTTATAATATTTAAAATTCCTTTCTGTGTTTATTGCATAAAAGTACATGGAATGCTTACCTAATAATATTGTATTAAAAAATAAAGTTATTTCATAATTTTTCAACCTTCCTTACCCTTCCAACTCCATTCCTTCCTTGTTTGTCCTTTGAGAAAACAGACAGGTAAATAAAAAAGACAAACAAGGGTTTTTAAACTCTACGAACTAACAAGAAAAAGAACTAACTAAAAGAAATACATGTGTGTATGCACAAAAGTGTGCACACAAACATACACGCATACCATAAAAGCTCAAACTTGTAAAGCATAATATACAAGTAGTAAGTTTTTTTTTAAGGCCAAATAAAGCAATATGTGACAAAAATATCTCCAAAAACAAACCTTGAAGTTCCTTTTTTTCTGGCCATCTACTGCTGGGCATGGGCCTGTCCTTGAGAGTGGTTTGCATCCCCAGGCAGACTACCCTGGAGAAACTAAAGTTTCCTTTGTTTGTGAGTGGTTGTTAACTGGAGATGCCTTTGTTGGGACTGAGAGCCCATGCCTACTTCCCCATCACAGTGCTGGAAGCCCAACCAGCTTGGACCTGTGCAGGCTCTGTGCATGCTGCTACAGTCTCAGAGTTTGTGTGTACATCAGTCCCATTGTGTCTTGAAGACACTATTTTCTTTAACCTAACAAATCTTAAATGGTTGGTTAATGGTTATTTAATTACAAAACAAGCATATATTTTTTTCAATTTATTTTTTTTATCCATTAATTTTACATCACTGGGCCCCTCCTGGTCACACCCTCACACAATCCTTCCCCCATTCCCTCTCCCCTTCTCCTCTGTGTGGATCTCCTCCTTCCCATTATACACCCCACCTCCGGTTCTGGCACTTCAAGTCTCTGCTAAGCTAGGCACTTCCTCTCCCACTGAGGCCAGGCAAGGCAGCCCAGCTAGAAGAACATATCCCACAGACAGGCAACAACTTTTGGGATAGCTCCTGCTCCACCTGTTTGAGACCCACATGAAGACCAAGCTGCACATCTGCTACATATGTGCGGGGAGGCCTATGTCCAGCCTGTGCATGTTCTTTGATTAGTAGTTCAGAATCTGAGAGCCCCAAAGGTATAAATTACTTGACACTGTTGGTCTTCCTATGGAGTTCCTATCCCCTTCAGCCTGCAATCTTTCCTCCTATACTTCCATAAGCATTCCCACGCTCCATCCACTGTTTGGCTGGGGGTATCTGCATCTGTCTGAGTCAGCTGCTGGGTGGAGCCTCTCAGAGGACAACTTGCCCCTGTCTGCAAGCAAAGGCATGCCATTATTTTCTGAAGAAGCAAGAATTTCCAGTTCTGTAAACAAAAACCAACAAAGTGTGCTTCAACCAATTTTAAATATGCCTTTTTTTAAAAAAAAAATAGTGTTTTTATTTCTACCCTAAGCTATAACCCACCAAAGTGATTTTTCAAAATTAAATTCTAGAAAATTGAGAAAAATAATGGTCCAGCTCTGTTCCTGTAACAGAATCTCAGTGGGTTTTTGTCTTGCAATACTAACAGTGGTTTAATCTGTTTTATTGATTCTTAAATTGTACATTATTTGATACCATTTCAATAATGGTAGAAAGATCTGGAGAGTTGGATCAGTGATTAAGAGCACTCACATTTACTTTTCTATGAAAACAATATAAGAATAGGTACATAATTAACTATGTTAGACAAATAAGAATTCTGTTGAATTAGAATAATGTGATGTCTACCTCCTTTTTGCAACCACAAATGTCTGTCTGCCAGTACAAAAGAGACCGCCTGTTAAAAAGTATCTGTCTTACTCAAATTCTGTTAATCTCTAATAGAAAACCTGTTACTTTAGGGGTTAGAATTATGGGAAGGAACCACATGAAAAGCTGAGTGATCAAATGTGGGATTTAAAATCACTTGTTTTTAAAAAATATGAAACTTGTAACCATTTGTGTAATTAAAATTCATGATTAAGAGGAGATTGTGTGTGATTTTTTTTCCTGCATGAGGGATTTTATTTCGTTAAGGACTAAGAAAAAAAATAAAGTTGTTGGAACCTTGCTTCATCCACCAAATGTATGTCTGTGTCTGTGTGTGTATGTGTGTGTGTGTGTGTGTGTGTGTGTGTGTGAGAGAGAGAGAGAGAGAGAGAGAGACAGAGACAGAGACAGAGACAGAGAGACAGAGAGGGCCTGTTTTACATTAGTCATCAACCCTGGATTAGTGATCTCACTGTTGGAGCTAGACTGACAAATTAACTTCTCTGTTGTTATTAAACAAACATCAGCTTTTGGCTAAGTACAGTGCTAAGTCCACTAGGAAAGTGGAAACAGAATTGTGAGTTCAAGGCCACTCTTGGCTACACCGGCAACATAGTAAAATGTTGCCTTTTAAAAATGGCTTTGAGCTGGGCAGTGGTGGCACACACATTTAATCCCAGCACTTGGGAGGCAGAGGCAGGTGGATTTCTGAGTTTGAGGCCAGCCTGGTCTACAGAGTGAGTTCCAGATAGCCAGGGCTACATAGAGAAATCCTTTCTCGAAAAACCAAAAAAATAAAATAAAATAAATTAAAAATAAATAAATAAATAAATAAATAAATAAATAAATAAATAAAATAAAAAATAAATAGCTTTGGTTATTTTCATGTTTTTAAAAATCCATGGTGTCTCTACCAAAGAAACTGAAGGGTTACTCTCAGCAGACAGCGTTAGGAGACAACAATTTGTGATCAGCATCTGATTGCTGATAAGCAAAGTGCACATTGCATATTATTGATAAAAACACAATGTATGCTTTTTCAGAATGTATGCTTTCTGTAACTACAAAATATATATGGACTTCTAGATCAATAGAGTTGATACTTTTATGTCTGGTTTTGTAGATTATTTACATATGAAACAACATAGGGGACTATATTAAGAAAGAATCTTGTTTATAGGAAATTTTACTATAAAAGTTCTTAAATGTAACCTATTTTAATGCATAGTTAAGTAATATTTTAAAAACCAAACAACACAATTGCCATGTCTATCATGTGTCAGTGACCAAAAGAAAATAATTTTATTGGTAATGAAAAGTAAAAACAGGGCCAGGAAAATGGGTCACCAGATAAAACCACTTGTCAGGCAAGCCTGGTGATCTTTAATCCCTGGAACCCACATAAAAGGCCAGATATGATACACATTGGCAACTTCCCCAATCCTCCTTTAATATAAGAGCCATAGGAGAATGCAGCCTGAAGCTTGCAGGTTGACTACCTAGAGTATACAGCATAGCCGTGGAAACAAGAGAGACCCACCTCCATACGGTAGAAGGAAAGTCTAACTCTCCAAAACTGTTCTCTGACCTCTGCACATGTGCCATAGAATGTCTGTGACCACACACACACACACACACACACACACACACACACACAGACATGCACACATAGGCAGACACTCATGCATGTATGCACACACACATACATACATAAATACATTTTTATATTAAAGATAAAAAATAAAAGGTCTTGTAATACAGCTTAGTTGTTGAGCCCTTGCATAGCCCAAAGTTTATGAAGCCAAGGTCCAATCTCAGTACAAAGAAGAAGGAGACAGAGGATAAGGAAGGAGAAGAGAAAAGCAAGGAGAAAGAACTGCAGGGAGAAACAACAGGAACAGGAGGAATAATTATTTTATTTCTGATTACTAATTATCTAAGGTGAACATCAGAACAAGTAAAGATCTTTCAGCATCTTAAAACAACAACACACACTCTCAAGTATATTCAGTAAGTGTGAAGATGGAGGTTACCATGTTGTGTCTTATGGACAAGGATGGACAGCCTCAGACCTCAGCAATCAGCTTTATTTCTGTGTCAATGATGAAACATTACTTAGATTTTTGTTAATTACGGAAAGCTCATAGGGTTATGACAAAATTCCCTGGTGGTGAGATCCAGATACTTTACAGTGAGTTCTGTATGGTTTCCTATGAGAGTCACCCAGAAACAGTTTGCTCAGTCCAAACTTTTACAGAACTCTCATAGAAAAACTGGCACGAAAAGGCAGCTCCAGACCCCATGACTTCCGCCTATGAAAAGCCAAAACCTTTGACACTACAGAGGCAAAGGCTTTTCTCACTTACCAGCTCTGAGAAGTAGAAAATACCGAGTCTGTTGCTCACTGCAGCGCACAGCACAGCCACCACCAACTGCACAGGTCTGCCCTCCTTCAGGAAAAAATCAAGGAGAAGAGAGGGTAGGGATCGCCTCCGTGGACTCTGGAGCAATGAGGACAGTGTTTATAAAGAAGGGAAGCTACGCATTTTCTGGAAACAAAAGTGAAACTAACCTCTTTATGTGTGCTTTCTGGGCAGCATAAACATTTCCAGGAAAAAGATAAGGAACACTTTATGATTTCAACTTGGTCAGAGATTGAAAAAAGACTGGACGATTCGAGGCCAGGAAGACCATTTCATCTTGGCCTGTGAAGGGTCACTTAGCCAAGACACCAGGGGAATGAGCTCTCTGAAGCCAAAGGATTCCTGGGGACAAGGATGAAAGAGGTGAGGATTCTACAGAATCACCAGTGAATGACTGAAACAGGCCATCCATCGGGAAGGACTGTGCCATGGGCCTGCCTCATCATCCTCAGGAACACTGGTTGACTAACCTTATTTCAGCCTAAAAGGCACCCATGAACCTGGGGTCTCACAGGGTCAAGAGCCACCAAGACAACTCAAGACCAAGGTTCAGAACACACCAGATGATAGAATCGTGTTTCTGACGAGTGCCTAGCAATTACTCCATGAGGTAGACATTTGTGAGAGTCGGGGGTCTCCATGGGTAGATTTTTGTGGGAGGCCTCCATTAGGTAGATGTTTTCGGGGGTTGTCTCCATTAGGTAGATGTTTGCAGAATGTCTCTGTGAGATGTTTGCAGGGGTATGGAACACTTGATGCTTTTTCAGTGAGCACAAAGGCAGCAAGGAGCAAAGATGATATTAGAGCTTGAGAAAAGTGAAAAGGACCAGCTGCTGGGCTGTGGAGAAACCGCAGTGGGCTCCCTGGATATGTGGAGGCATATAGACCTAGACAGAGATAGCTATTGGAGGAGAGGTGGAGAGGATAAGTTCCTCAATGTCACCAACCCTTCCTCAATGCTGTGATCACATCTCTTTACACTCACAGCCACAAGCCTCTTGTCACCAGAGTTTATTCTCCAGGTTGCAGCTCTCCAAAGATTCCTGGATGTCATGTTCTTCTAAAGAAAACTGTCTGGGCCCTGCAGACGAGATGTGCCCACAGACACAATAGTGCCAGTACTGGGTATGGGAGTAACCAACAGCTCTCAGTTACATTTGAAGCCTGCTCCACAGAGGGAACTTATATTAGGTTAGAGAACTCATTGGCCGAAGGGGAGGGCCTCCTGATGTTTTATTAAATAGCCATCTTGCCAAACTGCCTTCTAAGCATTTATGTTCATAGTTATAAGCATGTGCTGCTCTCAACTTTAGGCAGAGAATCTTCTTTCTAGTGGGTGGTAGTACTGAGAAAAGGTGGCTAGAGGTCGGCCATGGACTGGAACTCTATATTTATCTTCCCTTGACCTCAAGACATGGGAGAATATCACAGAAGAGATGGAAGAAAAATGGTAAGAACTGGAGAATACGGAGTAGTGTGAAATGCTGTTATGAGCCGCTTCTTGAAATTCAGCCTTCAATAATAATCTTCTCCCTCTAGTGCACCATGAGCCAGCTGAAAAAATTCATTTGGAGTTAACCAAGCCTCAGTAGAGGCCACCAGTAAGGCTAAGGTAAAAGGGGCTGTTGGACCATACTTAGAGGTGGCTGATTTAAGTTTTTCCAGAATTGACAACTTAAGAGGAGTATACAAAAGGGTATCTTGGCCTGGGGTCGGCCTCTCAGGGACAGCTCCGACCACAGAGTCCCGGCCATCTTCATCCTCACTAATAGTCTCATCAGGGTTAGGATCACAAGGGCAAGCCTCACTAGAAGATGGCTCGTCACCTGTGTCTTGGGGGAACAGACGTGCCACTGCTAAAGGAAAGCAGAAAAGCGAGCACGCAGTGTTGTTGGCCTGGGGGGAGAGAGAGATCTGTTAATTGTTTATCCAGATCATGAAGAGTTTTTAAAAGTGAAAGTTGTTCCGGACCAAATCTGTGAGACCGCTCAAGTCGGCAGTAGCCGTGGAGCATGCCTGCAAGAGGGCGGGGCTTGTTAGAAAAACTTGATCAAAAGAAGACAGATGGGCGGCAGGGGATAGAAAGAGGGAAGAAGTTGATTAGAGAGTGGCTCGGGGTTTTTGGAGGTTGAAAGAGCCACAGTTTTCTCAAGAGGGGGCCAGTCTCGACTGTGATATCGAGCAGCCTCCTCATCAAGGGCAGCTGCATCTCCCGGATGGAGGGGTTCCTCTCCACCTTCCTTCTCAAGACCAATCAAAGGGGGATAGAGAGGGGTGTCTTTAATAGTTTTAGTGGGCAAAGTTGAAGGTGCCTTTTGAGAAATTTCTACAAGTGGGGGACCCTCGGGACAGGAATTCTGAGAGGGTGGTCTCGAACAAGGGGATTCAGAGGGAAGGCACGAACTCTGATGTAGGGCCCTCTCTCCCTCTTCAATGATATTTTGAACATCAGGTCAATTATTGTGAGTCTTTAATAGGTCATGAATGAGACTCCAGTAGCTAAAAGCTGTAACAGGGACCTTTTCTGGACCAAAGGTCTCATAATAATCTTGTAAACAATTATCGAATCTCTTCCACTACTTCTGATTAATGGTTCCTTCTTGGGGGAACCAGGGACAAAGGTAAACCAGAAAATCAAAAAATCTCTTTAAAATTTTCTCTTCAACCCTGGCTCCCTGGGTCTCAACGGAATCCTTAAGCCCTGAAATGAATAAATCTTGCTGAGAAAGATTCTGACCCATGTCTACATACATAATGCACCACCTGATTACTCACCAAATGCCTGTCTCAGCATCCCGGAACTCCCAGAGTCCTGAATGCCAGCTCTGCTGCTACTCGAAGGTGGGGTGGTGGTCCCCTCTGAGGGTCTTCAAGCCCCATATTTTGGGCACCACTTGTCCACTCCAGCTGGACAATCAAGTGGGACCCTTAAACCCTGTGGAGAGGATTGAGATGGGTGAGAAAAAAGGAGGCACAGCAAGTCAAGAAGTCTGATCAAGCTGGCAAAGATTTTATTGTTCACACAGGTTATATAGTCTGAAAACAGGATATGGGGAGGGGTAGGAAGGGAAAGGGGGCTTTGCAGGTGGAGGAAGCTAGCTGCAGCAATGGCGTCTAACTAGGTTATACCTGTTGTTCTCACAAAGCCTTGCTGTTACCAGGGATTCTAAAAACATCTATCTAGCAGGATGTTGGCTAAACCTAAAGGTCGGGAGGAAGGGCTACTAAGGTGGGTTGTTATGAGGCCTTGTTTGAAGTTCTGAGAACTGACAAGTGAATCATGGAAGCTAAGCAGGAAGAAGAACAGTAGATAGGACAGCCAAGCATGAGTGTAAGGCCTTGCAATGGTTTCCCACACAAGACGGAGCTGCCTACTATGCACACTCATTAACAATAGAATGCTTGAAGTGCTAGCCAGAGCAATAAGACAAGAGAAGGAAACTAAAGAGATACAAATAGGAAAAGTCAAATGATCTCTATTTGTAGATGGTATAATACACATAAGAGATCCTAAAAGCTCCTCCAGAAAACTTTCTGATCAATACTTTCAGCAAAGTCATAGGATACAAAATTAGCTTTAAAGGACAAGTAGCCTTTTTATATGCCAATAACAAGCACACTGAGAATGAGAGTGTAGAGACACTCTCATTCACAGTAGCCTCTAAACAATAAACTAGGAATAAACCTAACCATGCTTAGATCTTTCCTCTCTTTTCCTTTCTCTACCTTTCTTCCTCTGCCTTTGTTCCCCCCCATTCTCCTCCCTCCTCTTGAATTGACTCACACTCTATGATTCCTGTTTTCAGGTCAGGCTGATAATCCTGGAAAGAGTCAATCCTGAAGGCTGAATCCAAATAACTTGGAGGAAAAAACAATCTCTCTTCTTTTTCTTAGGGAATATTTGTTTTTTTTTTTGTCTCTGTAAGATTTTTAATTGATTCATGGGTGCATCCACAGGACAGAAGGTCATCTAGTGTATTCAAAGCCTCCTGATTTCAAATTTAATCTTATTTTTTTAATATACCTTTTTGGTAATATCTACCCTAGGGATCAACTAAATACCTGAGTACTATGACCTAGACAAGGTGCTATGTAAAGTCACACTGTTTCTGTGATAAAAATAACCTGTATCCTGGCTGAAGTGGCTGGTAACATCCCAACCACTCAGGAAAGAGAGCAATGGATTTTTCCTAGGACTCAGTTCACTTTCTCATTTTATCCATCTCAGGATTTCCTGATGACAGCATAGTCTGGGACAAGGTGATGATAGGTTTTCCTACAATATTAGTTGATGCAAGAAGATAACTCCTCACAGGTTTGCCCAAAAGTCCCATCTCCCTGGTGTTCCTAGATTCTGTCAAGTCCACAACTAACACTAATCATCACAGATATGCAACATGTAATCATCATGTTTATTCAGTCAGAACTTCCATATCTTTAAACATTTTTTAATTTTCTTGACCCATAGGTAATTTTTGTCTATATTATGTGGACAGTATAACATATCAACAAAGTTAAACAATTTATTTTAATCAAATCAACATACTTTTTTTTTTACTATTACAGCATCATTTTTAGGCTTTGATGAGTCTCACCATTCCACATTTGATTATTTATGGATATATCTGAGGTTAATTTTTAAATTTCTTATTGTTTAAGAATTTCATGCATACATATGATTTGTTTTCATGAAATCAAACCCATCATACAATTTCCTTTTTCTCCCTCATCCCACTGCCATGTTTTTATCCCAACGTCATTTCTCATGTGTGTGTGTGTTTGTTTGTTTCTGTTTGTTTGTTCATTTGTTTTGACAATCTCACTATGTAATGCTTGTTGGTCTAGAAGTCACTATGTAGACCAGGCTGGTCTCCAACTTAGAGATCACTCTGCTCTGTTTCCCTAGTCCTATATTTAAAGGCATGTTCCACCACATCTAGCAATTTGCTCTTTTCATAAATTCCACTGAGTCCATCTGTGCTGCCTGTATGCATATGAGTACAAAAGCATCTACTGGATCATGAGTAGCCTCTCTGGAAACACATCCCTGAGGAAACTGATTCTCTCTTCCCAAGAAGCCATCAGTTAGTATATTC